TTCATAATGTTATTTATCGTGGCTCCATTATGTTAATTGTCGTGGCTCCATTATGTTATTTGTCTTAGTTTCATTATATTATTTATCTTGGCTTCATTTTGCTATTTGTCGTGGCTCCACAAATTGTTTTGTCTTGTCTCCATTATATTATTTGTCTTAGTTTCATGACGCTATTTGTCTTAGTTTCGTGTTTCTATTTGTGTTAGTTCCTCAATGCCATAATTTTATTTGTCTTGGTTCCACAATGTAAACTGTTTTATCCTTATACTGTTTTCAATGTTTATAGAGAAACTGCCTGGAAAACACTATTCTGAAATTGTCTTTGATCCATGAGCGTGTTTTCTTCTGTACAATGATAATAAAGTTGAAATGAGATGAAGACTATATAATAATATGAACAAAGGTAGTTTCCGTATAGACTTTAACTTATAACAGAGCATCAGATATAATCCTCTTAGAAATATACAATATCGTTTATCGTAGATATTAAGATCATGATAATTAATCAGGCAATTTTCTAATTAAGAAAAAAGAAAATCACGCTAGAGATCTTCAGTTTGTTGTTTTATAGGATTTATAGGATATTAATAACCGTAATGATTGTTGTCAGTGGGTGGAGGTATCAGTATAGATAAGCAAGAGGGGGTGACATGGAAAAATTCTCGAATTACCAAACCAACAGCACAGAACCATCCAATTGAACCAATCCAACTGGCAACCAACCATGACATGGAAAAAAGCGTCTATTCGTTCGATGGGACATTAAACCGAGGCCACGTGTGCTACAGGGATCCCTCAACAGTAAAAAGAGCAGGCTAATGCCGCTATCATGGCAAAATTTCCCGCATGAACCCTACATTGCGTTACCCGGCTTCATTAGCCCACATGGTGCAGAAAAGTAGTTTTATTTCATTTACATTGGTTGAACTTTGCATTGCATGTATCAGGTACGTAGGAGCAATACAAAACAGATAGAAATATAATAAGGGAAACGATTACAGGGGTGTTTATTTTTTCTTAATTTTCTGATCTTGTATTTCTAAACCAATTCAGCATTTCCGGCTTAGGCAACCTGTTCCCCTCCCTGTTTTACCCGTATATCCAGGGCTATGGCTAAACCTTATTTTGGGTCATGGCTAGTATTGTCAGTATATGTATCGTTATTTAGGATTAGAATATATACGGATAAACTTGTTTACCGTATATTCTGAATCCTCGAACGCAAATAGTGTGATGTTATTTTCTTTTGTTTATTATGTATTATTCCTGTATAGTGTCTGTTCTTGTTTAAAAACGAAATAAAAAATAAAATTAGAAAATAGAACAGTTTGATGTCATTCAATGAAATTAGGTTAACAAACATATCCTCTTTACTTATTTAACATGCCTGGCAGGCTAATCGTCGATGCCACTTACGACCTGCTTGTTGTTTTTATATTGAAAACGTGCCTTAAAATTACGTGAAATGTGCCTTTTCATAAGAAAAATTTAAGGTTTGCTGATATGATATCTCTGTTAATTTCAAATTTTGTCATTAGTTGGATGGACGGAGTTTTAACCAAGCATGATGGAACTTGATGGAAGTTTGATGAGTTCTTATTGACCATAAACTGCTTCAAATTAATTTTGGTTTACATTATTTTGTAACCAATTGAGGTAGATAAAAGCGTTCATCGAAACATCTTAGTGCTAAAATGCTCTAAAGCCATTCGCCGAAACAACTTTCTACTAGCATGTAACTCATCAATCTGCATTTCAGTACACCAAGTTCTAAGTTTTTATCAAAAAAGGATAAAAACGACGTATTGTGTTAGAGTTTGACCCATGTTCTCTTTGTTATGGGAAATAAATTTAAAACTGTTCATAGAATCATCTTCAGCTTTATAAACTCACCCGTGATCTAATTAATCTACATTAGGATACCAAGTTTCGGTTTCCATCACATTGACCAGTATTCGTTTAAACGGATCAGGACATGCAGACATAAATAATTTCACTGTTTTGTTACATACAGAAATAGGATGAATTAATTTCCTTATTAATATAAGGTTTTTTCAGTGACTTCATAATTGTAAAGGGATTGTAATTGGAACAATACTTGCTGATAAGTGGCCTCTTGCCAAATCGTTATTCAGAAAAAGCCGTTTCAATGAAACTACGAAATTATGAGTAGAGTTCAATTATAACATTTCTAAAATTATGATATAGATTTTATTAGATAATTGGAATCATGACCTGGGAGCTTTGATTTAACTCAATACTGCTAATGAACGTAGTAGAAGAATACCACTAATATAATGCTCGAAATGATATTGGTATAGCTCGCCCGGCAAGATGGCATACTTCGCCCATGACTGCCGGAAATAGCAATCACTCGGAAACAAATCTATCTTGTCCAAGAATTCTACAATCTTAGCATACCAATTCTACCCGAAAATTAAATGAGCTCGGATTTGGTGGCACTTAGAGGTCACACAATGGCGGCGCCAGCCTCCCAAGACAAGAGGTACATATGAAGGGCAGACTGACTTAATAGGGAAGGCGGGGCATCTGTCCTGGTTGAGATCCAAAATTCGGCAATACCGAGGAAAAGCATATAGGCACATGTAGAGTCAGATTCTGATAATATTGTTGAAAATAGAATTAATATGGTGTATTAGGTAGAATGGCCCACTCACTGGCACCGCCACTGAACCAACACCTCATAGTTTTTAAGCCAAGGACAAATAAGAATATATGGTTATGTATTATGATTTATAGACAAATGTGAAACAATAAAACTATTTGTAGAAATATTATAATTGTTTACAAAGAATTTAAATAATCTTGAACATGACAGTTTTTTTCTAAATTGTGATCATTCTCTTTAACAGGATAAACTACAAAGGATACTTCATGTGTATTTTGAACCATCCTAAAAGAATAACTGTTATTAAACAGAATACAACTATAAATTCTATGATGAAAATAGAATATAATTAAAGAGAATGATGTTCTTAACAATAACACAGTAGTATATATTTGTGACTAGAATTATTTACAATTACATAGTATACAGCTCATTGCTGTCAAAAATGCAAAATTTCAAAAATATTTGAAAATTGACTTCAGTTCTATGCAGTGCAAATATTTGCAGGACAGCAGCACAAAATGTCCATTTGGATTGTTATCATACTAATGTAAGTTTACATTACACAGAGTATACTTTTCACAATGTCTATCCCATTGGAACCAGTTGGAAAATTCTCTGCCTATTCCTGGTTGGAACATAAGAGTAAGAAATATCTTCATAACTACTGGTAACTGTGTAATGATTTTAACATATTGAAATTATTCCTTTCAGATAACATACTGCAATAAACAGTTCTATTATCTACCATGACACTATGTATGACATCAAGTTATACCATAAACACCAAACAGTCACATTTGAATTTTTTTTTTATCTACAGCAAAATGCATCAGACCTGTAAAGTGCTTGATAGAATAATCTACTCAATGTTTCACCAATCTCTTTTGCCAATGAATCTGACGGAACTAAAAACAGATATCAGAAATAATATAAAATAATGATCTGAAGATTTGAAATGACTAAACAATAACAATATATAATATAAACAATAACAACTACATTTATATAAACAATGCCAATTTATAAATAGTACCATCTCAATTGTTTTAATCCAAATTACATTTGGTGGGATCAATTAAGCGTGAAATTTCATAATCTTAATTTTTGTATCAGAATAATATCAATGCATATGCAACATACATGTCAAATCACATTCGGTACAATTTCCAACAAGAAGAGAATCAATTGCTTTACACTGGTTGTTTTGAACCACTCCAAGATAAGCATAACAATAACCAACTATCTATAATGTGTATAATGTAAAAATATATTGATATCGAACTCATGCTCTTGGTGATCAATATTTCCAACCTAGCTAAAACATCAAATTGATATTACAAAATAAAATACAAGATTTCTAACACAAAAATATCAAATATAATAGGCTTTTAGCACTATTCTATAATGTTATATATAAATTCCAAATTTATAGTATGAGTGATATTAATGATATTAATGATAATTGTGATATCAATGATATTTATCAATAATATCAATTTGTTTTTTTACTGTGCTAGTCATTTCATTAGTTTATCACTCAATTTCATTATGAACATAATCTACTCATTAATTCTATAAAAATTTTCTAAATTTGGAATCCGTCATAATTAAATTCAAAGATGATGATTCTTAAAATTATGGAATGGCACAAAAACCTTTGGCATAGAATGGAATTTACCTTTAATCAATTATTTCTTAACAAATTGCATGATTCTCAGTAATTTTACAAATAATATATCATTACATATTGACCCCAGAAGTGATACAGGTCAATAATTACAATATAACATAATTTAGTTGTTGGAATTACAATTCCAAGCCAGTAATAGTAATAAACTATAACATAATTATGTTGTGGGAGTGTAAATCAACAAGTCCAGCTTGTTATTATGACAAGAAGCATTACATATTACAACTGAAATAATGAGACATTTAACATATTAAGTACATTCAATAGATAAACGTTTATGTATATCTATATATATATTGATAGCAAAATAAAACGATAAAATACCTTGCTTTAAAACAATAAGGACTTGTGTTTCCATCCAATAGAAACCAATCTGTCTAGCAGTCTAGCTTCACAACACAGAATTTTAAATCAGACATGCCTACAAAGCATCAATATAATGCTGGAAAACGAGTTTTATGATAAAAGTGTTTGGTGGTTGCTGTAAAAATCTTCACTATGGATGACAACAATTCAAATCTTTGCATTCTTTCAAACAATTTGATTAAATATATGATCACTTTTGGGAAACAAGACACAAATTCTAAAGCCACTTGGACTAAAATCTTTCAACATACAAAACTCATGCGTCTCATTCTGCGAACATATTAAATTGCTTTCAGCCAAACCTTTATGATATTATTCAGTAAATGTATTAAACATGCCAGATAAGTCAGTAAACTCTGTGGCTGGTTGATCTAACATTCGGAACATATCACCAAATTCTTCTGGGTTAGTTTGACTCTGTGGTGCTGTGGCTTGAGGATTCTGTTGATTATTATCGGAAGACTGAGCGCCTTGCCATTGTGGCCATAAATTAGGATTGCCTGAAACATCACAAAATGAGGGTGAATATTGAAAATCTTGAAGGTTTTGTTAATGTCATTTACCCATACTAAGAACTTCAGAATATAATTTCCTGCTGCAGCACAATGCAATTCCAAAAATACTGTAAAGGTGACCATTGAGCTATTTACAACCAATTAAGTTTTTGCAGTTAATGTCCAAGGAAAAACTTCATACAGTGTAAATTTTTGTCAAATTAGCTGCATGAGCTTTCTATTTTTTTCGAACTGCCAAAATATTCTTAATGTGAACGGTAGGTAGTACTTAGCTAATTGTCTCATTTATTGACAAACATGACTGCTAAGAAGAAACCAGTTTGAAAAATGTGCAGGTACTATCTTGACATATGCATTATATCAATAAAATAAAAGATAAACAGAAGAAAACTGTCAGAAATGGAGAGCTAAACAATAAATGTTTATGACCGTACCTGGTGAACTAGTATTTGGACTAATTTGATTATAATTACCACTAGCAGTACCAGTATAGTCAGTGGTTCCCTGTGAAATATAACCATTAAGTTCACTATTAGTACAAATAAAGCAATGACAATACAAATATAAAAATAAGTAATTAGCCTTTGTCATGACACAAAGCTTGTCTATTACTGTCATATTTCATCCTTTGAGATATAAATATATTGATGAGAAGTAAGAATATAAACTCTAAGATTTTGTTAGCTTTGATCTAGAGATCATGCTGCTAATTCAAAATTACTGCCTTATGTCAGTTTTGTGAATCTTCATTCAAGTTTAATTATAGGATAAAGCTTGGGTTAGTGCTTTAGATATTTAACCTTACTGTTTGGCATCAAAGTTGTGGCATTGAATAATTTAGGGTTTTCGGTACCAAAAGCGTGTTTTATCGCCACATATTTTTGAGTACCGGTATGTGGAAATGATCATGGATGAAAAAATGCTTATAGAACAATAACAAATTTTATTTCAATGTAAAAGTATTTAAACTAAAATATGTTATTTTCAACAAGATATTGGTAACAACAACTTTTAAAAACCAAATCAAAACTTACCTCACTCCTAGCATAAGGTCCTTGAGGATTCCATCCACCACCTTGTCCAGGGCTTCTCCTCATGCCCATAGATGTTGAGGAACCAGATTGTGACATACCAATAGTAGTAGGTACAGAATGAGATGGGTATTTAATAGTTTGTGGGTAGGAACTATAGACATCATTACGACCTGCTGCAGCCATATGATAAACATCAGCATAGTGAGGATTATCAGCTACTCTGTAATCAGCTGTCTTTAACTGTGTTCCTGTTAGACCAATGTGTTCAGGTGCTAACGTTCTCTGGGCAGGATATGTGTTAATGGTTGGTTGAGGCTCAGCTGATGGGTCTGAAAGACTCTGTCCTGTACTCTGCTGAACACTTCTGAAAATAAATTAAAATAAATACTAATCTATTTAAAATACTACTAAAATTGTTAAATGTCAAAGGTATTTATTTCTGATCTTTAATTTCAATAAAATTGAAACCATGTATTCTATAATAGATATTTAAAAATGAAGCTGTGAAAAAGAAAATAGAAATCACAAGTGTTTTTTTCCTATGTCATAATAAATGTTATGGACCTACTTTGCTGACGTGTTAGTACACACAATGTACTCAACTTCATCTGTATAAGGATTCTGAAAACTGAAGCTACTGGTACGTAGCCACACCCATTCACGGTTAGAGGCACGGAAACGATACATGATTGACATCACTTGACCTTTCAACTTTAGAACTATAAGACAATAATCATAAAATCAATCAGTTGTGGGATATAAATAAACACATCTTGAATGAGTTTTTTTGGTATATTTTAAAAGTTTTTAAATATATCTTCGTAATTCCAGCAACGAATTTCATTAACAGAAGCCCTAGTGTAACAAAAAATACATAAAGGTGTGGGCACATTAACGTTCTTAGTTCGGAGATTTTTGTCGCCAACTAGAGTCTTGTCATGAGTTTTGCTGACTGGCATAGGAACGTGAGAATACAAAAATCTCCAGTCCAGTCGGTTGTTTTCCATCACGTCCATAAAAACGCGCAGAGCATTCAATTAAATGGAAAAAGAATCTGATTGGATGATGATGCTCTGTCTTGCAGATGATAGAACAGTCAGAAACAATCAAACTTGTTTGATAATATAAATCCAATAATCTTGTTGTGGAAGTACGGGAACAGGCAAGATTTTCAAGATTTGAGTTGTCGACCAAGACTGTTCCTGTGCCTGAACCTTTAAGGAACATCCTTTCATCCTTTGTTGATACAAATACTGTGAACATACCTTGATCAAAAGTTTCTTTCATATGAGCCAAGTCTTCAGGATGGTAGAAATCAAAGGCAGGTTTTCCGAGTAAGTCTTGTGGTTGATAACCTAATACTGGTGTCACTCTAAAATATAAAGTTAAATTAATCATATGACACCACATTATCAAAACAATTCAAATAGATTGTTTATCAAACAGGATTCTGTTATTATTCAGGTCAGAATTTGACAGTGAAGCAGAAAAGGTTGAATAATTTTTCAGATTTTACAGATAATTTCAATAGGATTTGATCATTAATTATAGTATAATCTACTACTTTACAAATTGAGCTACATAATTACTTGATATTGATTTTACCACAGAATATAATGTTCCATTAGTATTTTCAATCTATAATTTTGGTCAATATATCAATTAAACTCACCTCTGATCAACAAATGTAAATTTACCATCAGTACTATGTCTAGAGATAAATTCTGTAGCTGAGTTGGGTCCCATTAAATCGCTACAGTTGGGTGTTGATGTAACTTGTAGTCGACCTATAGCTACAAGACAACAATGACTACCACCTTGTTCATCACCCTCATTACGATCCATCTGTACACCTGCTTAGAAGAAATATATTTACATTTTATTAAAAATTTGTACATGCAAAACAATTCTGTTAACCAAATATATCAACCAAAATCTGGAGCAATAAATGCATAGTAGTGGACTGAATGCTTAAAATATTTAGATAAATATTATGATTGTTTAATCAAAAATTTGTAATATCTCATAAAATGTTTTAATTGGGAATGTTTTTCAAATATTATATATAAATTATCTTAGCCAATGTATTTACAAAGAGCTCTAGGAAATGTTTGACAAAGGCTTATTCTATATTCATCTGAAAACTTCTTTCTAAACAGCAAACAATAAGACCTTGTTGAAATCATTTTTATGCCTAAATAAACACTTTTTCACCATCAAGCCGTATTCATGACTTAAAAAGGTCAATAAATTCAAAGGAAATTTCTTGATTTCAACAAACAATTAAACTCAACCAACCAATGATGGATGTGGTGGCTAAATTCCCAGTATTAGGACTCAAAACAATGATTATACATACCTGATGGTGGCCAGTTTTTAACATAACCAGTAACATGTACCACAGAATAATGGTTACCATCAGGTGAAGGACCTAGTGTTTGACGCTGTCTAATACGTACAGTATGAGTTGCTGTTACAGGATCAACATGAGCATTACCCATTCTCATACGACATATAAACCCTCTTCTTGATCCCATACATAGTCTAATGGAAGCTAAAATTCAAAATAGGCTGAGGATAAAAAATGATCTATACTAGATTTAAGAACAAGAAATATAATTTCATTCACTTTTGCATGTGATAGAAGATGTTAAAACTAAAGAGGAGCTAAAAGCCTTTACTATATTTCCTGATATGTATTATAGAGCTGTCCTTAATGTTGTGAACAGCATTTTGAACACTTGAAACGTGTCAATTATAATTATGATTTCTTATTGTATGGAAGAAATATTCAATAATAACACATCTTACTTACATTGATGTCCTTCTTTCTTAACTGTACCAGCTGGAAAGGAAAAAGAAGTGAAAATGAAATTCATTATCTGCCAATTACAAACTTACACCAGACTTTTCACCCAAGAATTATGACTAAAGGGAGATAAACATATGTAAACCCTCTTGAAATTAAGCGAGGCGTCTGTGAAAATGATGAATAACGCCAGAAGGTGCAAAAATTTCTCTGCTACAATAAATCTTAGAGCTCCCACAAATGATTACCAGCTAAACTTACTTTTTAGGTCCAGTATACGTCCTGTATTTTGAGATTCTGTTGTAGATAATTGTTCTCTTACTTTCTCTATATCATCAGGATGAACCAATTCATATAATACATTACCAAACCAATCAGACTGTAAATACAATCAATTTTATTTTACCGTTAGGGACTTATTCACTGAAAAATCATCTTAAAAAAAGCTACAGTTAAGGTTATTTGACAAATAAAACAACAAACGAAGTAGAAAAAATTGTTTTTACAGAGAGTAATATTTTTGTATAAAGTTTTGACACTTTGGTTATAATTCAAAACAAAATCTGCTCAAAGATATTGTATCATTAATAATTGTACATGTAATTTGTAATCAGTAAGGATCAAATACCTGTGTTTGATTAAGAACTGGTGTAACTGAATCAGATACATAAATAATACGTCCTGTATCACATTGTACTACAAATAAAAACCCATCAGCTGACTGAAATATATAAAATACAGTTTTTATTAGATATACCAATGAAAACTAATGGTAATGGTGTGATACCCTTTCCTAATTTCACTAGCTTTGTACATTATTTCCATTTCTTAAACCTTTCAACATTCTTGGTTGCTCTACCACTAACATCATAATGGGTTTGTGACTTTTTATTTTCTGATATTTTCTTTCCGAAGGATTAACACAATTCAAAGATTTTTTCAAAAAATAATTTGAAAAACCAGAACTTAATTAAGAGTCTGGAAAAAAAGAATATTTTACCTCTAAAATAAGATGTTTCAACTCTTGATCTGTCAGAAATGAAGGTCTGTATTGTCCATCTTGCATAGTATTACCAGTCCCTATACAAATCAATACAATATAAAGTTAAAGAAAGAATAAACACCTATCTTCCAAATAACAAGAATTGGCTTGCATAAATTGCATGTATTTTTCATTAATGTGAAAAGAGAAAGTAATTGCTTGAAACTTGTTTGTAAATATAAATTTAAAAGTATTCTGTGTAAATCAGTGCACTCTTAAATATCATGGAAAAATTTCAATACACTGAAAGTCACTTTTCTTGTGTGAAATTCAAGCCCAAAACACTAGAGCAAACAATGATTCTATTTGTATCTATCAATTCATGTTCAGATTCTATGACTTCCAATTAAAGACTCATATCTTAAGTTTAGTGCTTTTCATTTATTCAATTTTTGGTGCTTCAAAGGATTTCATATCATACAAGGACATTTATATCTTATATACATTATTCCTGGTCATTTTAAATCTGTTTAAATTAAAACAGAATGTAAAAAGCCAAACCTTGTGTACCTCGAAGTGTCTTCATATGAGACACTGCCATGCGTAGTATGGTTAGTTTATCTGGTTTTCTAGCTAATGTACTACATGTTGGTACCATATCACATAACTCATTAATATATACTGTCATTTTATTACGTCTTCTTCTCTCAATTTCACAATGACTCTCCCTGATAGAACATAAATAAAATCACATTAAATATCTAGCTCTATGTTTGGAACATGAGATATTTTTCTACTAAATTCCGTTTCAGCCTACAGGAATTGTGCAGCATTTTTTTAAAAACTTGTTCTATTGATGTTCAAATATCTAAATAAAATGCAATTATATTAGCCTACTATAAACTCAAATGATATTAGAAATTCGATGTACTTTAGAATTAGGGCCCAGAATAAGAAAATGCTGCACAAATCCCATTGTAATAAATGAGAATATTGAGGATAATTTTATCATACTTACAACATAGCTCTAGTTTTCCCACTTTTTGATGAAATTCATAGAATAGTAAGAAAAATATATTAATTTGAGAGTCTCGGTCAAGTTAAAGGTTAGAAATGATCTTTCTTAAAACAATTCAAAGATTTTTTTTTTATTTGATTTATGTTTATTTGAATGTTTGAAACTGATTATACATTTAAAATTTCACTGAACCCAAAATCTCCATTGAATAAATATTAATTTAAGTAAAATTTAAAAAAATCGGCATTGAGTGTCAAGAAAAATCATCTCTGATACACCAAAAACAAGACCATGCATAGGCAAAACAGAATTTAGTAAATATATCTTAACCATTTTAACAATACACAGTTGTGATATAAAAAGAGAAAATGCTTTACATGATTTGCCCATAATTTTCATGAGCAATAACTAAAACTAGAAATGTTGTGTGCGGAAATTTTATCTGTGTAGCAAGACATGCCTTGTTCATAATTTACCCCACACCATAAGATAGGTAGTCATGCATTTAACCTACCTGGCATATCTATCTTTATCAGCCTGATCTCCACTGTTAGAATAAGATGCTCCTTGACTGTCTTCATCATCTGATCTATAAGATAAAGCATCACATGACCAAACCCTGCTACCGCTATTTGTTGTTAATAAGAGAATGAAATATCAACAATATACAAGAAGTAACAAAAAATTGTGATTTTACTTTTTATTAAATGAAAATTACTTACTCGCGACCCGTCTTTCTCTTTCTGCCTTTAGCACTATCTGGAGTACCTAAAAAATAAATGAAAATATAAAACTACAAGTAACACAATGATGCAGAACATATCAGATTAAATCAAAATGACCATTAAACATGTAGTGTATTCAGTAGTAGGGCCAATCATCCTAAAATCCACCAATTTCAACTCATAATTCATAACTATCAAACTGTCGCTTTTAATGATTATAGTTCATCAGTTTCAGTATTGATACTGAAAGTCTTAGTTAGAATGACTTTGTGCTGATGAAATTATGGGCACATTAGAATAAAAACTTTTAGAAAAAAGTTTCACACAAAGATTTTCCAGAGAGAAGTTTGCTATGTCAAATTTAGAATTAAAATCCTGTATATTTTTTAACAATACCAATCAACTAGTGTTCATTAAATAAATCTGATTTAGAAAATATATTTACTCAAGTTGAAGTACCGATATAAACACCCTAATTGAATTATCAATTTTCTAATTAATTCACCTAAGTTAAACGTCTTCATGAGATAATCTGCATAAATTAATTACTCAAAGTGTAGGAAATCCAATGTGTTGATAAAGTAGGTCAAATCGTGACAAACTGTCAACATAAAATCATGGAGGAAATACATTCACGATTTTGAACCATTCTAAAATTAATTTTACCTGCTGAACCTGACGGTCCTGGAGATACTGTTATGGTAGCCATTAGCTGGATACCCTTCTTAACTTCGACACCTTGTTCTTGGTAATTATTATTGTCAAATTTTACTCTTGAGGTTGAAAAAGTTGATTGTAAAATTTACACTTCAGTCAGACAAAGCTTCCGGGAACATGCGAGACTTAAACGAGAAATCACGAGATGATAATATTTTCGTCAACATTACCGCTTCCGGTTGCGAAAAGTAAACTTTATTTCATAAGCAGTAAATAAAATTGTTTCTTGATAAGTTAAGCCACACATGAATTTTCTGATTAACTAGTTGGAAATGAGTAAGCCAAATTCTGGGTAAGTATTTCAGGTTTGATTTGGTGTGGGTTACACAAATTACAATTAGTGCAATGCCACTCAGGTGACGAATGGTTTTATAAAACATTATCAGTAAATTATAAATTCGTTTGCTAACCATTTGAAACACACTCACCCTTATGAAAATGAGTTGATGCTAAAATCCACTAACAACAGCTGATAATGATAGTGATAACCGGCACTGTTGCTGTTTGTCTGCACCATGTGGGCTAATGTAACGGGCAACTCATGCAAGGTACTATGAGGGAAATTTTGCCAGGACAGCGGCATTAGCCTGGTCTTTTTCGATTTTACAACTGTCGAGGGATCTTAAATGTGCACACTGCACAGCCTTCATATAGGGTCTCGGTTTATTGTACCATCCAAATGACTAGACACTATTTCCATATCAGTCCTTCTTAGTTGCATCACTGACAGGGGGAAACCAGGTTGAAAATTCCGGAGGTATTATCTCGACCTATGCTTGAATTGAACCCTGGACCTTCAGGTTAGTGAGCAAGCATCTTAATTCACTGAACCACCATGTTGAAGAAATCAAAAGGTTATTATTGCAATTTAGAGTAACAAACATTTAACCTAAGTCCAAACTTAATCATAATGGCTATGTCTGAAATATTGGCTCAAAATTGCCCCTGAAGATTAAATTTAAATATGATAATATTATATAAGCTTATGGCAATTTCTAATGAATTAATTTTTGAATGTGTAAAAAATATTATTGCATTCCAAATGTACCTGTACTTGTGGTTTGAAAACAGTAAACCAGTATATGATTTCAATAAAATCCAATCAGAGATTAGAGTTTATCTCCAATTTACTAATCGATTGTTTTCTAAATAAATTTGAATACATCATCCTTTGTGACAGGCCTTAAAGAATTGCTTAATTTAGACTGGCTTAACTGCCTGATTCAACTAGAAAGCTGCAATTATCTTCCAATGTTAATAGATTTGTTAATTTTATGATGATATAAGAATAATTCTTGTTTGATGAACATCATTTTGTAATAACTATTTAAGAATAGTCCTCTTTTTCTATAATATAACATTCAGTTTTAACAGGATAATCTTATATTTTAAAATATTTCTCAAAGAAACTATTAGAAGTTGTGAACAGTTTTGTGCGATCTCTGTGCTTAATTGTTGTTAAATTTAATATGAACTGTGTAATAACTTTTAATTCAGAAAAATGATAATTTCATATTTGCTAATAAAACGCTTGCCATCTGTGTTTTTTTTTTCGGCGTTTTATTTTTTTTTATTGATACTAACCAGTCCGATGAATAAAGCCTTTGACTTTCGTGTTCATTTTCTTTGTTGACTTCACTCACAACATTGCCATCATCGGTATCGCTAACTACTTCTTCATCGGGAACTAGTGGCTCAAACTTATATGGTTCGAAACTACTGGCTCCATTGATTTCAGCATTGGATTCTATGTCAAAATCTTCGGATAGGGCCGATAGGTCATTAAATTGTTCGCTTTCTGATTCTGAAACACTGCCAAACTCCATTGTTTACCGGTTCCACACGGCCATTACTGGACAGAATCGTTACTTCGACTACGTCACGTCTATTTTTAGTAACAAGGAAATACCCCATACTGGTTGTGCTGGCAGGTGTGAATTTCCAAACTTTCACGCGTCATAACTTTATAACCAGCCAACCAATTTTCAAAAAATAAAGTTTTATTTTAATCTTAGATGATATACTTTCAATACAGATACATTTGTCAAATCTCTGGAACCTTTCTTTAAGCTGACATCCTGTCACCTTGGTAAACCTGTGTATCCAAAAAGTTGATGGAAAAAACACTTTTTTTCTAGAATAAAGCCATGTCTGAAACTAATCATGAAAAAGTATGTTTGATTTGATAAAGTTATTTTTGATATTCATGTTATGTAGCCAGAAATGATATTGAACTGTCTTCAATCATATTAATAAATTTTTTTTTTTAAGTCAAGTTATTTTATCAGACCTTTAATAATAAAGTGGTTCCAGGGCATTAACAAACACACCCATAACAGATTGAATCTTTCTTGGAACCATACTTGTAAGAAATATGACCAAAAAAAATAAAAGGGTTAGTGTGATAAGGGCATTCTGCTTTAGTGTAAAATGGGCTTAATGCTTATTATACATGATATTATATGTATGTCCTTTGTATAGTTTTTAGAGTTGCTGAGTTAAAAAATGTGATGTGATTTTGCATGGACAGAGTATATCGAACTACAGAGCTCCTTCACCTTTGGAGGTACATTTCTGAAATCGTTGCTGATTGGTTATTAACTATTATTGGTCGTCCAATCAGAATTGATTTATCGTAATCAAATATTGGCTAGTACAGTAAAAAAGGAGCTGAGGGGCGTCAAAATACCGGTTAAACTTGTAGCTGTTTGTGACTTAAAGCTTTGATATGTTAATTTAAAACTTTCACAAAAGGTAAAGAGAATCTTCCTCTATATTTTGGCATTCAGTTTGATGTATTTCACATACTGAAGGTCAACTGATTGAAAAAAGCTGACTGTCACTTTAAGATGAGAATGAATGATCTATTGATGACCTTATTGATTCAGTGCCCTATATTGATTTTAGATTTACTGGTATTGTATTCAGTATAATATTTAACATTATGATATGGGAGTTCTATATCAATAATTGGCCATAGCATGTCAAAGCTTGTTTCTGTCTTTTCATTCTAATGAACTATAGAATAAAGTTGGGTTTAAAGGTCCAATATGCTGTAGGAAAAAGGAATGTTGATGAACAGATTGTCAGATTGGAAAAAGGTTTGTGTTAGACTGATAAACTGTAATGATACTTTCATAGGTTGAGGGTTTCCATACTTCAGAAAGTTATAAAGCAGCATCAATTTATAAAAGAGAGAGCCAACTTACAAATATCCATTTAGTCTAA